CCTGGTGCCCTGGTTCCCAGGGGGCTTGGCACTCAGGAAGCCCAGGCCTGCACCCATGCCAGAGGCACTCCTCCTGTTCCGGTCCTGGTAGCACTTCCTGGCTTACTTCTTCCTCGTGTGAGAAAGGGCCACCGGCTCACCTGCAGCGCTCAGGGGTCCAGAAGCTTCCATGGGCATGGATCTGGATTCCCACAGCAACCTGGCCCATGCTGACATCTTGGGGGTAACAGGTGTCCATACTTGAGCTCTCCCCCTGTGCTGCCTAAGCTCAGGCCCTGCAGGATTCCCTCCAGGAACTTGGAGAACTTCTCTGGGCTCCCATTCTTGGGCAGCTGACACCAAGTGGCAGGATTCAGGCACAGGGGCTCCCTGTGCCTAAATCTTCCTGGACCCTTCAGTGGGTGACCCTGATCTGCCTGAGAGGTGGGCCATCCTAGGATATCATTCTTGCCAGGGGAGGTCTCCTAAAGGTATTCTGGGATCTTGCAGGAGGTGGGCTACAGCCAGGGTCTGAGCCATGTGGTGGCGCTGTTGCTCATGTATATGCCCGAGGAGGACTCTTTCTGGGCCCTGGTGCAGCTCATGGAAAGCAGGAAGCACGCGATGCACGGTAGGTGGATGGCGTGTGGGGCCCAGTACATGCAAGTCCATGCACAGCCCTCACTGGCTCCTGACTGTGCAGGACAATGTCCCTGTTGGGAGGGGTGGACTCCCAAGAAGCCAGGGCTGGCAGAGGCCTCCCAGACTGAGCCAGCCCCCTTCTTTCACCGCCATCCAAAGGCCCTGCAGCTTGGCCATGGCCATCCTGGGTGTGGGAACCTTCAGAACAGGGGTCCTGTCCTAGTCCAGTGACTCAGGTCACTTCTGGCTCTTCTGCCTCACACATCTCTATGCAGACTCTCAAGCACAGAGCCACACCCAGGGAACTTGCAGAAGGCAGCATCCCCTGTAGGGTCACCCCCTCCTCGCTCCTGAGTGTCAGAATGGTCAGGAGGCACCCAGTTTGACAGCACCAACCCCAGTGGGCTCCAGGGGCAGCCTGGCCTGGGCTGCACACAGTCACCCACCTCCCAGGCAGATCCTCTGCCCTGGCCATGTTCGTTCCCACCTGCCCCTGGTTGAGCCTCCCTGAACCTCAGTGCTCAGATACACCCCACCCCGGCCTTGGGCTCTCCAGTCTTCCTAGGAGGAGGCTCTAACATGGGGGTGTGGCTGATACTACTCAGGTTTCTACAAACTGAACACCCCCAAACTGGAGCGATTCCAGCAACATCTGGGAGAGATCCTGCATGGCGTGCTCCCCTCCCTGGAGAAACACCTGGTAAGGAAAGCATCTCCTTTCTCCTCTTGGGGGCCCTGTGCTCAGGGAGGGGAGGTCAGAGAGGGGTCCTGACTCCCTCCTGGGCCAGGGCAGGCCACGTCCTCACCAAGGCTTTCCTTGGTTACTGGGGTCCGCGGCAGATTGGGTGTTGGTGTGTCTTCCAGCACTTTTTCCCCGAGAGTTTGCATCGATTGCAGGGAGATGCTGTCCCCAGGGCAGAGTGGACCAAGGGACCTGTGTCCCTTCAGGAACCTGCATGGCTGGGAGAGGGGATGCACCTGCTGCTGGGCTTCCTGCACCCAGGGGCTCTGCCACAGGGCTCAGATTAGAGCGAGTCAGGCCTGGGCCCTGGGCCCTGAGCCCCCTCTGCCTCTGCCTCTTCTTAGGAGAAGGAGGGTGTGTGCCTGGAGGACTCCACCACCCACTGGTACATCCAGTGCTTCCTGGATGGGGTAAGTGCTCCGGGGACCCCTTGCCCAGGGAAGCTCCTGGCCCAGTGCCTGGCTCTCCTGTCCTGGTGGCCTGTGACTCTGAGCTCCCCCAGCCCCAGCAGACACAGGAGGGAGTCTGCTGTGCAGACCAGGCAGGTCCTGCCCTGCTAAGGGTGGTCCAAGCTGAGGCTGAGCCTCAGAGCCAGAAAGGAGGTGACAGGTCCCACTAGGACCCATCCCGAGAGCCTGGCAAAGGCCAGAGTCCTACAGTGAGAGGCAGGAGATCCATAGACCCCCAGTGGCAGAGGCTGGTGTCAGCACAGCCCAAGGGCTGACCCCTCCCCCAGATCCCTGGGCTGTCTGGCATCTCCAGTGTGGCTTCCAAAGTGTGCAGACCCCCAGGGTCCAGGACAGGACATGGTCATCCTCTCTGGGTCTGGTTCCCTGAGTGGGCGGGGGTGTGACACTGCACACCCACCCCCTGTGGGCCCTGCTGAGGCCCTGACGGGGGGTCCTCCAATGCCTCTGTCCCCAGGTGCCGTTCCCCCTGGCTCTGAGGATGCGGGACATCTATATCCTTGAGGGTGAGCACGTGGTCACCACCATGGCATACACGGCCCTCAAGATCCATCACAGTGAGTCCTCAGGGCCCACAGAGGCCCGGGTGCTGGGGACGGAGGAGCTGGGGGTCCCCCTGCCTGTCCCTCATGAGCAGGGCTTGAGGGAGGGATGAGGGGGTTTGGGAGTCCTGGGTTCCCTTCAGGAAGGCACTGAGAATCCCCTGTTGCACCCCCAATCCCAGGCCCCCACAGACCACAAGGAGAAGTGGCCAGGGTCATCGCCCAGGATATTGGTCCCTAAGCAGTCCCTCCAGTGCTTGGCTTGACACCCAAGGGTGTCCAAGGGTGTCTGCAGCCCATGTCTGGAGCTGGGACAGGGCTTGGAGCAGCCATGGTGGCTGTGCCATCCCTAGGGTTCTCCCAGCCTGACTCCCACCCCCATGTCTAGAGCACCTGCTGAAGATGTCCAGAGACCACCTCCGGGAGTTCCTGCAGGTGACCCTGAAGCAGGCCTGGTCACTGAGCGAGGATGCGGTCATCAGGCAGCTGCGGGCCTCCATGCGTGAGCTGGGGAAGCTCCAGTGCCTCCTGCCTCCCGAAGGTGAGTCCAGCACACGGCCCCGTCCCATGCTCCCTTGGGGGAGTCAGTAGTGGGAGACCCAGGCCCTGGCAGCCCCGCCCAGGGCCTCCCCTCTTCCTTGTCCTCCATGTCCTCCCCGGGCTCAGCAGTTCTGCTTTCAGAAGCTCTGACAGCATGGCCTGGTGGGCGTCAGGCAGCTTCCCTGATTCCTCCTGCGGGGGACTGCTCTCCCCCAATGACTCTGGGGCCGGGATGTGGAGCTGTCCTAGGGCTCTGTGGCTCTGGCTCCTCGGCTGACCTCCACTCTGGAGTGGATTCGAGGCCCCACCTTGAGCTACCCTGCCCAGGTCTGGAGGAGGTGCCCTGGGTCAGTGTCCCCAGGAGCCCGGAGCACAGCTGGACCCCCACTCCAGCAAGATGAGAAGCGGCCCTGCCTTCCCAGGGGGCCTCTCCCCGACTGACCCCACACAGGCTCCTGGCACGATGACCACAGCTGTCTGCAAACAGGACCCTCCTAGGACAAGGGTGGGAGGGGCTCCCACCTGCATATGGGCAGGGCTAGAGGGAGGTGGGGCTGTGGGAGACCCTGCACAGTGAAGGCCAAAGCCAGCCAGCACTGGATCCCCTCAGCCATCTGAGGACCCCTGGAAGGCCCTGGTGCCCTGAGCCCAGTTATGGAGGCCAGATCCACTCCTGTGAGCAGAGTGGGTGCAGAGGCAGGTGCTGGGGCCCCCGTGGCAGAACCCAAGTGCAGCTGAGTGTGGGCTCTGCAGTCCTAGCCTCGGGCCAACACAAGTCAGCAGAACCTGGAGCAGCGCTGGCCTCTGGGCTCTGGTGGGGAGGGGTCCCCATGCTCGTCCCTGCTGCTGCTGCCATCAAGGACCTGAGTGCCTGGGTCCCCATGCAGAGCAGAGATGGGTTTGTCCCAGCTCTAGGGGCTGGCAGTGGGGGCCCAGGGGCAGGCTGTTCAGGCACTGGGGAGGCCCCACTGTGCTTCCAGGTGCTGCCTCCCCTGGGTGCTCATGGGACAGAAGCGGTGACAGCCATGTCTCACCGGGAAAGGGACAGTGGTCCAGGGTCAAATGACAAAGGGTGCCCCTGCCACCTCTTTAGAAACTGCATTCCTGTCCCCGAGGGCCTGAACCAGACCCCATGTCTGCCCCACAGCCCCAGCTCTCACCCCCATCATCTTAGGCTCAGTTCCTTTCCAGCCATTTAGGAGGGACTCAGATGCGGGTAACTCAGCCAATGCACTGTTAGGGCCCAGGAAGTCAGGAGGGGTAGTGACGAGGGTCCTGAGTTGGTGCCTCGGTCCCCAGAGATGAGAGAGTGAGGCGGGGAGGTCAGGGCCATGCACCCTGTGGGGCTATGCAGGAGGAGCCGGAGCTGTCCCAGGGCTCCCCTGGCCCAGGCTGCACACACCCTCCCCTCTGGGGCCAGCAGGCCGGAAGAGTCCTCATCGTCACACAGGGTGATGGGGACCCTGGGTTCAGGTCTCAGAGGCACACCCTGCACTGCAGATGGTGCCTGTGGAGAAGCAAACCACGTCTGCTTTCCCTTTAGCAAAGGCGAACGAGCTTTGCAGCACGGCCCTGGGGTTACCGCAGGTCTCTCGGGAGTGTGCTCCTCCCCAAAACCATAGAGGTGAAAGAAGATGGCGGAGGAGGGCCTGTGGGTGCCACTAGGGGGTTCACTCCCCCTAGAGGAGAGTCATCCTCTGAGAAATCCTAAATCCCAGATGGCCCCTTGACCACCTGCCCTGGCCCCACTGGTCTCACGTCCCACTCGGTCACCTTCAGCCCCAGGCACAGGGCTGAAGAGTCCATGCCTGCACCCTGTCCTTGGCAGCCCACTGCATGAGACACCGCTGTGTGGGGACAACAGCCCCGGGTGCCCTCACTTGCTAGTGGCCTCTAAGCTGCCCACTCCCTGGGGCAGCTGCTGGGTGGGTGGGCATGGTGACTCGTTGTGCAGCCCAGACTGGGCAGCAGCCTGCCCTGTCTCTACATGGCTGCCCTCAGGGGCTCCTGTGCCCCTCCCTGAGGAGCCTCTCCCTGGTCATCTATGCCCTGACTCCAGTGGGGGTCATAGGTGCTGAGGGCATCCCCAGAGCAGGGCAATGACTCAGTTTATGGAGCAGTGCCTGATGCAGCCCCTCACCCTCCAGGGAACCTTATTCTTGATGCTGACCATGTATTAAATTGTTTCTAGGTATTCAATTGCTAGCTTTGGACATTTTTGCTTCAGGTTTTGCCCACCCCCAGCCCAGCTGCAGCAGAATTTCTCTGTGTTCCTGGTGAGCGACTGTTGGAGGCTCCACAGCCCCATTCCCAGCAGAAACCTGCTCAGGACCCTGCAGGCAATGACTGAGATTCACCTGTGCCCTACAGGGACCGGGTCAGCACAGCAGAAGAAGCAGGCATGACTCTGGGACAGATCAGGACAATAGGGACAGTTGTGGTGTCACCTCTATGCTCTCGTAGACCTGGGCGGCCGTGTGCAGCACCCTGGCTTGCCCCTACGTGTCTCCCTTCCATCCTGCACGTTCTGGAACCCAGCTCCTCTTCACCCTGACCCCAGGAGAGGGCACCCAGCGTGCTCGGCTGGGTCTAGGGGGATGCCAGCAGGGCCTTTCTGTACCGTTGAGCCCTGGTGTCTGCACTGAGCTGCGGGGGGAGGGCTGCCATGGGTGGCGCTGTGGGCTGGCCCCACTCGCCCCAGGCCAGGCCCTGAAGATGGATTGACTCTGGGTGTCAGGTGACTTTCAGTTTATTTAAAACCAGAACAGGAGTCCCACTTAGGGGCCCCTGTGAGGGAAGTGGAGATTAAGGGGCCCAGAGAGAGGAAAAGAGCTTGTGCCAGTGGCTTGGTATTTTCATTTGAAAGGAAGGTTCTGCCCTTGAAGAGACAGCTGAAGGGGGTTGGACAGAGGGCTCCGATGTGGGCCAGGTGGGGAGATTTCTGAGAGCAGGCCACACGGACGTGCACTTCTCCCCCATGGGTGACAGGGACCCAAGTGCTGGGGCCATCAGCTGCAGCCTCCAAAGAGCACCAGCAGAGAGCTTGCTGGGAAGCGGAGGTGGACTCGATTCCAGGAACCCCAGTGTTAGAGGCAGACATCCCAAGCACCAGCTCAACCCAGTGAGGTGTTTTTTAATTAAATACAATTGTTGTAGAATTCAAAACAAGGTGTAGACTCTGTACCTCTCTATTGGTGAAAAAAAATATCAAAACAGTACAGGTGGCAAAGGAATAGGGGCAGGCAGATTTTTGGCAAAGCAAAAACAAATTGGAAAAAAATGAAATTGAAAGAACCTGACAATAAGTGGGAAGAAAGGAAGGGAGGGAGGGAGGGAGGACGGACGACCACTGGGATGAAATGCAGTTACCAGCTGTTTTCAAGAATCTACAGAAAGACTGCAAGTAAGACTGGCCAAAGGGAAACCAGCCAACAAAATCGGAGGCTGACACCCATTTCAGTGTCATGCCTCTATCTTATCCCAGCATGAATTCTAAACGTAAATTCTAAGCTAACAAGACTGCCACACGACACAACTTCTCAAACTGAACAAAGACAATTATTTTACCTTTAGTAAAAAGTACATTCTACAAAGACCTTCTAATATTTTTTAAAGATTTATTTATTTATTTGAAAGTCAGAGTTACACAGAGAGAAGGAGAGGCAGAGAGAGAGAGAGAGAGAGAGAGAGAGGTCTTCCATATGCTGGTTCACTCCCCAATTGGCCGCAATGGACGGAGCTGCAGCGAAGCAAAGCCAGGAGCCAGGAGCTTCTTCTGGGTCTGCCACATGGGTGCAGGGGCCCAAGGACTTGGGCCATCTTCTACTGCTTTCCCAGGCCATAGCAGAGAGCTGGATTGAAAGTGGAGCAGCCGGGTCTCAAACCGGCACCCATATGGGATACCAGTGCTTCAGGCTAGGGCGTTAACCTGCTGCACCATAGCTCTGGCCCCAGACCTTCTAATATTAAAAGAAAAAAGCTTATAGAGCAAATGGCGTTAGATAAAATGAAGCAAATATGCTGGGAATAAAAGAGATGTTCAAATACACACACACACACACACACACACACTCGCACACATTACAATCTGTTAAGTTCTACACCACCTTCAAGAGTGGGGAGCCTTTTTTCTGCCAAGAGCCATTTGGATATATGTAATATCATTTGCAGGCCACACACAATTACCAATGTAAAAATGAGCCTGCTGGTAGCCAGTGTTGTGGTGCAGAGGTAGCCACTGCCTGCGACGCCGGCATCCCACTTGGGTGCCAGTTGTTTACACTAAGAACGTGGCACCCTTGAAGCAAACAGAAGTGACTACCAGAGCCCAGAGTGAGGGTGTAGGCAAGGAGGAGGGGACACAGGAAGAGGAGGGGACGATCTGACATGGTTCACTGCCCAGCGCTGGCTTTGCAGAGCAGGCTCCAGGAAAGCTGACCTTGCAAGCTTGCTCTCCCAGAGGGCAGCCCCCCAGGGACAAGGAAGCTGCAGGAGGCCGGCCTGAGTCAGAGCAGGATAGCGGCTCCTACTCCCCCTTTCCTGCATCCTGGACTCTTCCCTAACTGCTGGCCGCAAAGCCTTAAAACTGTTTTCTCAGGGAGGCAGTTTCCTTAGGGGAGCTAACCCTTCCAGCCTCAGTCAAACTGG